TCACATATGCAGAAAAACAGAGTCAGGAGAGAACACACTCAAGACTAAATTTTACTCTATGTCAAACTGATGTGTAAGATCCCAGACAAGTCAATCTGCATGCATAAGTAGGCAGTGAAGAAACATATGTCTTACATGCTGATACTCATATTGTGATAGAATTGCAAGTTTTGATAGAGATGTTAAAAAATAAAATAAAATTTACCCTGTATTTAGCTGTTTGAGGAAATCCATACTGTTTTCCAAAATGACTTACTGATTTACATTGCCACCAACACTGGATAAGAGTTCCCTCTTTTCCACATTCTCACCAACACTTACCTTTCAGCATTTGGATAATAATCAACCTAACAGCAGGGAGGAAATGTCTCCTTGAGGGTTTAATTTATTTTTTCTGATGCTTAGTGTTGTTGAGCATTTTACTGTATATTTAAGCGTCCATCAGTGGATGAATGCATACACAATGAAGCCCTATTCGGCAATAAAATGGAATCCGTGAAAGCTGCAACAACACGAAAGGATCCAGAAGACAAACATCAAGTGAAATAATCCAGACACTGAGAAAAATATTGCCTATATGTATTTGGATTGAAGGATAATTGAACTCATAGATTTAAATAGTAAAGTTGTGTCACCAGTAGCAGAATAGCAGGGACATGAAATGTTATTCATGAACTATTACGTTGGTAAAAAGTTGTAGTCAGACAGCAAGAGTGAGTTTTGGTGTACTATTGCACAGCAAGATGATTACAGCTAGCAGCAGCAAAGAAATGATACATACTTGCAGTGATTCTTAGTCTAAATACACTATTTCATCATTACATAACACATGCATGCATCTAAAATTATATTCCACTCTATAAACATGTGCTGTTTGTCAAAATAGAACAAACTTTTATTCTGTAGATGCTGGAAAGCCATCAGAAATGTGTGTGGCTTAATGTGTATTAATAAGGCTAATTTGCTACTAGATAGAAGGCTACTCTGGAAAGCCTAGCACTACAGGCAGCACCCCTGGCGAAAACATTTTAAACTGAATACACAAAAGGGGAAATGAGAAACTTAATCTGAAATATTAGAAGAGAAGTGGCAGATACAATTTATCAAATATCCTTAGAATCCAGGTGATACAATTACTAGGTGATTGATTAAATGCAATGGGTTTAGTTCTCTTGTTCTGATTGGGCCAAGGTGTGGATGAGAGAGATCTATAAAACAAACGGTCCCCAGCATGCTGTGTCACTCAAGACGATGCAACTTTGAGCATGTTGCCAGATTTCTTGAAACGCACCTCTAATAGATGATAACAGCAACACCTGTCTCACAGGGGTGTGAAGGGTAAGGTACTCCATGAAATAACATAATGTGAATTACTTAATCTGCATGGCAGATAGCAAACACTAAATGATTATTTTTAGCATTATTATTAACCCATATTATTAGATATGTGGGATTTATTATTTTCGAGGCAATCACAATGAAGTCTGCCATAAATAACTTATCAATTTTAGCAAAGATTAGTCTAGAAATTTGCTCAATGTAAATAGATTGTGATTCTACATTTTGGAGCAAGACAAAGTTTAAGGAAGCAAGCAAGGAAAGTGGAGCTCAAAAAAGATTCAGGGTCTTTTCCATGGAATCCAGAAACAGATGAATTCAGGGTGGTTGAACCCCTGTGGGCTCTGCCCTTAAAAAGAATAAAGTTGAACTTTTGGAGTAATTCCATTCTCATGAAAGTGAGCTGTCCTGCTCTTTTATGGTAGCTTAACACAAATACAGTACACTGCGGCAGAAGGGCAGGAATTTGGTCTCTGATTACCTTCTGTATTAAGATGTCCAAAATTTTAGTGACTAAATTCAAGTATGTGCTTAAATTCACCATGAATCATATGTGGTCTTAGTTTAGCTGAATATCTGGCCTTTCAGCTTAGGTTGCCTAAGACTCAGAAACAAGGAGATATATATTTGTGGTGAGAGTGATAAGTAGTATTAAAGTACCAAAATGGGTTGGTTCTCTTCTATTTAAAACAACTGATTATTTATTTATTTATTTATTTATTTATATTTTGTGCTAGGTCTCACTATACAGCTCGGACTCATAGTGATCCCACTGATTTCTGCCTCCTTAGAGCTGGGGTTGCAGGTGTGCATCACCACCCCTGGATTCTATCACTGGCTCAGCATGCCCATGCGTGGGGCTGGAGCAGCATTTGGTGCCAGGAAACAAACACTCACCCCTGCACTTACCTAAGCAAATGCTTAGTGTGCTGAGCTATGTTGCTGGCCCTAAACAATTGAGAATTGTTAGCACATGTTTGCTCTCCATGATTGCATTTATTATAGGGAATCAGTACATATAAACAAACATTTCAATTCTTTCTTTGCCTTTTCCCTCCACTACATTTCATTTTTTCAGCATCAGATTTATAATTTGTCATAAAGTTAATTATCATATATACAGAATAACAGCATCATTAGTTCAAAATACACATAAACACACAAGGCTATTATACTAAATCAAGGTACTTTGAAATATATTGTTCATGATAGCAATAATCTTTCTCTCTCTTTTTCTCTCTCTCCTTTCTCCCCATTGACTGTCTTTGTACTTTCCACTTTGCTTATATTATTGAGTTTTTCTTATAATACAAACCGTGTGATATTTAAGCATGTGTGTCTAATTCACTTCAGTTAATATTATGGTCTGAAGGAGCATCTATTTTCCTATAAATGACTCAGGCTTATCCTTTATTAGAGTAGTATAAATAGTGTATGCTCTATAAATATCACATTCTCATTAGCCACTTATTTTCTGTCTCCAACACTTAGCTACTATGAACTGTGCTGCGTAAAAGCATGGGTACACCTGCATCTCTGAGGTATGATGATTTTAACTACTTCAGAAAGATAAGTGGAAGAGAAATACCTGAGACAAATAAAATTTTCAGCCTTCTGAGGAATCTTTTTTATTTTTTAGGGAAGGGTCTACATGGTGTTCATGGTCTCGCTGAGAGATCAAGAGCTGGGATTATAGGCATGTGCCACGACAACAGTCTTCTGAGGAATCTTCATACTGATTTCCACAGTGGATTTTATCACTTTATGTACCCACCTGTAATAAAGATTAAAATTAAATGAACTAATGATTCTAGTGGATTTCAAATTCTTCAGAATAAAAATATACATCACTCAATCACTCAGCTTTAGAATTATTTAGCTTTGATACGGTAACACAATTCATCCTAGCCATAAATACATGTTCTGCATTATCCAGGTTGTTTAATGATGCAAATGATGCTAGAGCATAAAGAGCTGATTGGCCAGAGATGGCTGAAATATGAATCAGTACCACAGACATTCCCGTTAGATATTAGTTACCTTACATCATTTGGAGTGGCCACCTCACAATGTGAGGCTATTTTGTAAGCTGATTATAATAGATCAGGTTATCACTGTATTAAAATTAGATATGATATAGTGTGTCCACAGGATGAGCTAACATGATAAGCAGCAAATGACTCACAGATGCATAGAGGCAAGTGTTCAAAACTTCAGAGGTTTATAAGTTATTTCAGCTCCCAATGAACCATTGTTTATGTGTCTATTGTTGCCAGGACAAGTCCTCAGCATGCCACTACTGAACTCATTCTTTAGTATTAGCCGCAAATAAACTCTGGATGAAACTTGTTTCCCAGGTACTTTTTTCCTTGTCACTGTTGTTGTTACCAGATTGTCTTTTTCTTTCTTTCTGTTTTTTTTAAATCAATTTTATTGAGAAAGAAATAGCAATTAGACAGGTTCAAAACAGGTTAGTAGGACAGTTACAATAATTAATACATTGCATATTGTTGTCTTCATAGAAGTTATTCGTAGTACAAGATGCAGACATGATACCTTGTCTAAACACTATTAGTACAAGTCTTTCTTGTCATTGAACTAAGAGAAAGTAACTGTATATCTATCCTATTTTATAAATACAGATATATATTTTTTCCACTACAAAATGGACCTTCATTTGTATACCCCTTTTTTGTTTAGTTTTGTCAGAGATAGGTATTACATTCATATATTGTAGGTGTGTGAATTCAGCAAAATAATCCAATATAGTCCAGTAGTCTATAACAGTAGTGGGTTATCTGCATGACTGGCAGTGTCAGAAGTTGTTGACTTGAGCATTTTACAGCTCAGCATATTAATATGGCTTTACTTTTTATACCTTGTGTTTATACTTTTCTGCCGGATGGTTAAGACCAAGATAAAGCAAGATATATATGACAAAAAAATGTAAATTTTGTATCTGACAAGGTCAGTCAAATCCCCTCAGGATTTACCCTGAAACCATGTACAGCAGTTTGTAGGTGTATTTCTTCTAATGTCATATCAATTACTGCTATACTCTCTTTCAAATAAATGTTTGTTTAAAAAAAGGTAATAAAAGAAAACAAGAGACAAGAAAAAAAGTCATAGGACTGTCTTGCTACAATGTAGTATATGGATGCATTTCTAAATTTCTGTGTAAACATGTGTAATTGTTTATTTTTATATTTACTTTATTATTTTAGTTTATTTTTACTTTTTATTTTTGGTTACCGGATTCTAAGCCAAGTCCCTCATGCCTAACAGGAATGGTTGCTATGACTGCCCCTTAAGTGACACCCAAGTCAGGCTGAATCTTCCTTGTGCCATAATACAAAGGTCTGATCATCCTTTCCATCATCAAAATTTATTTTGCACCTCCGACTTTGGCTGGTTCATTATATTAATTAATTTATCCAAAGTCTTCATGGTTTATTTAGGCCTAATTCATTATCACTGCCTGTTACCGCACGCTGGCTCACAGAGGATTTATGGGCTGAACCGAGAGAATGAACAATGGGAGTCGTGCACGGCGAGCAGAAAGCAAACTGCATGTAAATATTTTGAGGAGCAGGCAAGAATTTTGTCTATCTGAACTGACTCTGAATTCGTGACTGCCAGGTCTGTACAGGTTTATGACAAACCTAGATGCGTGGTGTCGTCCTGTGAGGGCCGCATCCGATCCAGATGGCATCCTCCGACTGACAGCACTCTCCTGTTCAGCTTGCGTCTTCAACCTGAAATTCAGCAATTTCAAAAAAGAGGCATCAACCCGTAGTGTTTCTTCCATGTCTAATGGGAATCACTGACAAGTTGTAGACTTTCTTTAGTATTGGGAATGGGCCAGGTGAAGGTAATTGAAATGTAAATTATAAGTAAAAATGGTCATAAAAGGTTTATTTTAAATTTCATAACACTCCAATGTAGTTATAAATTTTCAAGTGAAATCAGAAGCATCCTATTACCTGCTGCTCCTGGATGGTGGACCAAGCATAGCTGATTGCTTTATTATCTGCCTCCTGAGGATTCACCAGATGTTAGAGACAATGCAACAGAGCAGCGACTGATTGGACTGCTGCCACTGAATTAATAGGAAGCGGTGAGGAATGAACTACCAAGAAATGATTTCAAAATTTCTCAGGACCATAAAGTTGAGATTTCCATTACCTGCTGCTTTTTGTTTAATTCACTCTGTAAGCTTATCGGGTTCTTAATTTTTTTAAATATCTAAATTATAAAAAAAAGTAGTATCCCCTGCTCTGGCAATCTCATTAAATATGGTCTGGATGAGAGCTCCGTGGGGAATTTAAATTTTTCCTACCCTTGGTACATACATCAAAGTTCGCACATATTTTCTGTAAAGAGCCAGAGAGTAAAGTTTCAGTTCTACGGGCTATCGTCTGTGCCACAGCTACTCAGTTCCCTCATTGCAGTGTGACACAGAGCAGATATAAAAGGAAAAGGCTGTGTCCCAGTGAAATCTTTCTACAGAAGTAGAAGATAGCCCGGATGTGGCCGGAGCACTGTGGCTTCCAGGGTCTCTTCCACACCTTTTCAGGCACTTCCTCTGGTGATCTTCTTTGCTCCTGCTCACATAGCTGTGCTTGGTCAACGACTTGGGGAAGGCCTTACAAAACTCCATTTCTTTATTTATTAGAAATATTAATAGACTTCTGACAAGTCCTAGAAGAAAATAAAGAACATGATAATCACCCTTTTATCCTCCTTGCAATCTGACAAATACCAAGATATTCTTTTTTTATTGCTTTAAAATGTCTTCTCATGTTTTAACAGAAGAGACTCTGGAATATACAAACTTTTATTCAACAAATATTTCAAAATATTTTATAACTCTAGGTCTTGAGCAATTAATACCTCATTCAAATAGGTTGTTGTATTATTTTCTTTTCTTTTCTTTTCTTTCT